GGCGCAGGCACTGCTCAGTGGACCAGTGGGGACATGATCATCTGTCTGAATGGTAAGTTAACTGACTTCACTATAAAGTCCACTATATATTCCCCGCTCTATATAGTGATTGAGGAATTTAGGGGTTAGGGCGGACGTTTCGACACAGTAAGCTTGTATGAGCTATAAATTTTAAACAGAGCGTGCACGAGGAGAAATCCATTCATGCATGCTCTCGCATTTTTTTCTAAAGTGGTTAGGGCGGGTCTTTTAAAAAATTTTTAGAAAATCCTCCACAATACCCTTAATGTATATAAGGTGCATAACAGTTTGAATAATTTAGACGATCACTATGGAATTCAAATATTGTGGGGTCCTATTGCAAGTGAGAGGAAAATAAAGTTGGATTTTGACAGACTGATCAGTGTCGCCTCTGCAGTAAAGCAGACGCTGTACAGATGTGTTGTGATGAAGGTACAGTTGAGCCAAATAGGCAAAGCCCTTGATTTGTCAATTTTATGTCTCTATCCTAGCCTATAGTCCCGGAATCTGGGTCATGACTGTAATGACCTAAAAAGACAGAAGATGATGAGTATAGGCCAGTAGTAGACAGGGAGATAAATTTAAGGTAAAGAAAAACTCATTGACAATTTATCTCATCTCACATTTATGGCTTTGTTGCTTTTGAATATCTTTTTTTTTGTATTTAGCAAAAACAAGTTTTTTTTTTGTTAGTTTTTTATTGGATTTGAACCCTTAGCAAATATGGTAATTCTTTTTTTAAATTGCCAGTTTTATCTGCTCAGTTTTTCTGTGTCTAGTACACAAAATTAGTTATTCAGTTGAAAATGTATTTTGGGGAAATTAAGATAAAGTAGAAAGGAGCTAAAGAAAAATATGTATTAAAAAAAACAAAAACATATTTAGAGGGGTTAAACTGTGCAATCATTTATTTAGGACAAAAGCTGAGAAAATATATAGTTTGCAGTAATTCAGAAAGTTGTAAAATAATACATATTTTTTACCTATAGAATTTCTTCTTTCCAATCATGGCTCGTAGTATTTATAGATTACAGAAATTGATTTGGTCTATTTTTCTATAGCCATGACCTTTTTCTTAATTTGTCTGTCCAGCCTATTAAACAAAAGGTCTCTCCCATTTCAGACCTTTTGTCTGCGTTTCAAAGCTGCTGGTCTGTTATTATTATATGGGGACTTTTTGTTCTCTCTCTCTCCCCACTCACTGGTCCATTGAGTCCAAAACCATTGTGAGACTCTGGCAAGTACACCTCGTGCTTAGCTTCCTTTTATTGTTAAAAGTGGTAGTGGAAACCTTAATAGTGTACATGTCTAAAAGAGTTCTGGGGTCCCCCCCCCCTCCAAAAAAAAAAAGAAATCGCTATTAGATTTATGGAGAGACCACGACCCCCATTAAATCTGGCCCATCAGAACTATCGACACATCTAACGTTACCATAAGATCAGTGTAACAGAAATATTACTTTTCTTTTTCAGGGGTGTTTAAGATATGCATTCATTGTTGACCTCCTTCTCTCCGAGTTCTGAAGATGATGTGACTAAGATCCCAAATTTCTCTTTGACAGTCATTAAAATGAGAAACTCAAAGGTACATGCCAGTTTGCAGGCCTTATTTGAGAAACGGCTGTAAATTGATGCGAGTATAGGGCTCTAATCCAATCTCTGATATTAAGGATTATTTGGGTTTTAGAACATGTCATATAACAGTAATTGTATTGATGTTTTTTTGCATATTTGTCACACTCAAGTGTTTAAGAATGTTAAATACAATGAAATACAAAGACAATACAAGTAACTTAAAATGCACTTTTTTATAAAATTAAGATTTTTTATTATTAAGGGAGTAAAAGCAATCAAACAACATGGCCCTGTGTGTGAAAATGGAATTCCTCCTTAAACCTAAATACGGAGTATCTTGCAGTAGTAACGTTCCTCAGGATTATTGTTATCTTGTATTTTGAAAACAAAAACTCAGGATATGTGGACATTTCCTCCCAAACGTTCCCATTTGTCCTGCTTTCAGAAATGGAGCCAGATTGATCTTTGTAGATCAGAAAAAGGAAACATGCTTAAAATGTCATACTTTTTATATAAAACCAGATATTAAAAAGTCAAAATCCACAGGATCTATGACAAACTGGGGTTGGTGAGGAGTACATTTTTCTCACCATATATAACAAGGAAGAAAATGGATTTTAAGCTGTGGAAAACAGTACAGTTCCAAAGCTCATTGTTGGAGAGCTACTGCAAAGAGCATCTTGGCATCAATAAGTAATCATTATAATCATTTGACCAGTTGTTAAGCCATGCTGGGAAGTATTATTTTCTGTCTTACCATCAGACTGGGGAGACTGACAGATGGGGGATTTTATATGCAAGCTTCTAATTTTTGTTTATATGAACCATAAAATGGCTTTGCTTATCCTCGCCCCTGAAGGATGATAATGATAAGGCTGAAACAAGCAATTACGAGGATAAAGGTTGTCTAATTTTAAACAAATATGAATTGATTCCAATTTACAATATTTTTCTATGAAATAAGAGCAATCAATTCCTTTTCATTTTTACTGACACTTTTTGCACATTTCTGCTGGTATTTTGATGACATCCAGCCAAATCCTTAAAGTTAGAAGGACTTATTGCCATCACTAACTGTTTAAATTTTTTTAAAGTTTATTTATATAGTGCTAATTCGTAACACATCAATTTAAGTTACTTGAAAATGGACAATTCAACTGGATCCTACAGTATGATTGGTTAAAAGTTTTCTATCAAATGAAAACCAGCTGCCTGGAGCCATTGACTTTGCAGAAGGGTCTCCTTTTGGATGAGCGTGCATTGTGTTTTCGATTCACCAGCAATCCCTCACTCCTAGTATGCCTGAAGCAACAGTAGAGAGGAAAAAATCACTTTAAACAGGAAGAAACCTCCAGCAGAACCAGGCTGGGGCCGACTGGGGTTAAGGAGACAGACATAAAAAGGGAGCATAAAAGCACTGATCAATAAATTTTTCCGTAAAAATTCAAAAAATATCCACTGGACTTGGTTTTCAGGATTTGAAGACGTTTCGCCACCTCTCCAGGAAGCTTTCTCAATTCAAATGTCTGGATCCGCAGTGAGTTTGAGTCTTATATGGACAAGGCCTTGTATTGCTTGGAAACATGCAATGGTAACCGATGATGGGTCGTTTAGTTCCATCGTTAGCCTATAATATCTGAACCTGTCTATGATTTCTAGGGGTCGGTCGTTAAAGGGGGGATTGCCATTAAGGGGGGGATTGTCTCCTGTAGTACCTGAAACCTGTCTATGATTGTTAAGGGTCGGTCGTTAAGGAGGTATGTTCACCGGCTGGAGCGGGTAGGTCCCTCGTTCCTCGTTCCTGATCAATAAATTATTTCTATGTTAGAAAAGGTAACAGTAAACTAGCTCCATAGCTGACTCTGATCAGGAGAGAAACAGTTAAGCAGAGGCCAACTTTAATCCCTTAAGCCCAGAGGGTTTTAGGAGAATTTCTGCCCGAATTTGTATGATACAAAGTCATTAAAGTATATTTCTGAAGTGGAACCACTATTGTGTCACAATGTTTCATTTATAGGTGATCAAAAATCCTAATTTTCAAGCCTTGCCAATTATTTTTTTTAAAAGTAAAGCCCCAAGGTAAGAAAACCCCTCTTTATAGAACCGTATCTTTACAATGACTGCAGCCAATTGGGACCGATTCCGTTGAAACATATTTGTTTCTCAAAGGTTTTAGTGGACAGTGTTTGCAAGCAGACCTTTTTCCTGCAGAAGTGCCAAAAATGTTCAAAACATTTAAAATTTATTTTTTTCCTAATAAAAAGAATATGGTCTGATAAGTGTTTTTTTTTTTTTTTTCAGAAGACATACCTAAGACAAAACAGTGAAGTATTAAAAGCTGAGCCCATTGTTATGTCTAGAAAAGAAACAGGACCAAGCACTGAAGAACAGGCCCCACTCAAAGGTCTTGATAGAAGCAGCCTAACTTATATTTTCATCCAAGATTATTTCCCAGCCAACCAGGACCAGACCAGTTGAAGCTACCATGACGGGAAAAAACATACAAAAAATCTAAATTTCATTTGCCCCCTCCTCAGTTTCTCGTTCAGTTTTAGGTGAATACTCTGACTGGGATTCTCCAATCAGGGGCAGCTCAGAGATTTTTTTCAGTAGGTGTGAAAGGGTGTGTGCCTAAGCATTGAACTGAGGGGGCTATGATAATAAAATATGTATATAATATGTATATTAAATTAAAATAATAATAAGATAAACCCTGATAAACCCTGATCTGCCAGGGCTGTGAATGATTTCAGGCTTAACATGAAGGGGATTTGTATCCACTTAAATCAAAATATATAATGACACACTGGGGCAAATTGACAAACTGCTTCTCATTTTGTTTTTTAGAGGGATAACGATATGTCTTATGCATGACTGATTGGTTTCCAGTCATTGTTTCTCCCGCTTGTTTATGACTTTTTTTTTTTATTTTTTTCCTAAATCTTTACCAGGGGTTGAGCCTAGTAAAGAGTGCTGTCATGCCTGCAAAGAAACATCTATAATAATGATAACCCTACCTATTAGATTCCTCTGAAGAATGTATTGTTTCACTTTGTGCTGTTGGTATATTTTCATTGTTGCTCGAACCTTTTGCTGGGACCTCAATTTGTTGATGTGATAGGACATCTGGCCTCAGAAGTCTTTATCAGATGTTTTTGTTCAAAGCGATGACTCTGCGGCGCTGAATTTATCGACTTCACAATGAAAACAGAGTCAGAATGTGACAAGATGATTACAGGTAATGGCTGCCTTTTCATGTGGAACGGTGGATCTTTTTGTTGTTGAATAAAGTGCTGTTTTTTTTTTTTTTGCAACTTGCAGCATATGAGTAAGTGAAGCTGTTGTAGCAGACAAATGGCTCTGATCGCTGAATGTCTGTGTTTATCCATTCTTTTTTTGTGGCAGAACTTAAGGAGATACTGGGAGTGTGCAGCAGATCTGTTTTTGGTGTGGAGCCATCCCAGATGTCCTTTCTGTTCTTCCTCATGTACGCCACTGCAGCTGGAGGGCTCCAGGCGCTTCTTGAGACCAGTCCTGGTTGTGCTCAAGAGTTCAAGATAAAGGTATATCCCTCATATCCTCCCCCTGATACTCTGCTTCAATTTTGAACACTGGTGATGGCAGTGAATATTTCCTCGCTTGAATTAAACTAAGCCCCTTCATCGCAGTTTGCTCGACTCATGCCATGTCTCGGGAACACACAGCTTTTCTTTGGCCCTTAAACATTGATTTAGAGTATCTTAACACTCGTGGCTCTGAGTTTGTGGATTTTGCTACTTTTACCTATCCTTCCTCAACATGAGACTTTTGCTTCCTCTCTTATCTGTGTTTGCACTTCTCCACGTGCGATCCTTCTCTCCCCTAGCAGTGCTAAAGTGTAGAAATTGGCTGAAACCAGTGAGAACTAATGGATTAACAAGGTCATTCAGAAAATGGCTCCAAGGTTTTTTTTCTTCAAACCGTCATAAAAGGCTTTCTACTTTGAGTTCTGCTTTATTCACTCAAAGAAACATTCTTATGATTTAATTCCAGATATGCCCTGAACAAATGACTATAAACATGGAAACACCCTGACATGCAGTAAGAGTTATACTGTAAATACTATCAGGAGCAGATATAGCAACACTGGTCCCACAGCAGAAAATACAGCTACTGCTTAAAGTATTTGATCGATTTTCTTCTTTCTATTTATTTTCTGATATGGATTTGTGTATCTGAACTATTAACCCTTAAGCTCCAGAGGGTTTTTGGTGCAATTTCCACCTGAACTTGCATATCTGGATAAGTCAAGTGTAGCTCCAAAGTTATAAAGTGGGAATGTAAATAATATATTTTTGCATGATACAGTCTTTAAGAATAGATTTCCAGTGGAACCATTATTGTGTCATGATTTCTAATTTATGATTGATCAAACAGAGGAAAAAAATCAAGATTTCTCAGCCTCGCCTGATTAATATATTCATTTTTAATAAACACTGCAAAAATCTGTAAAAAAAAAAAAATTCTTTAACCTCCAGACTCTATGGATCTCCAGCTTAGAATAGAAAAGCCCTATGTTTTCCCACAATGGGGAAATTGTGGTGTTATAGCACCATTACATCAAAAGTGGTCACACAAATGTGGACCTTCAAAAGTGTATAAAACTATAGGAGTAAGTGTCAGAGTTAAAAAAATAAATACATAAAATAATTTTTTTCACAAATATAAATACCGTGCATCTGGAGAATAAATAATCAATATGCATCTGGGGACATTTTTACCGTTGTTGATTTGTAAAAATCGCAGCAACACCAGAGATGTGCAAAAATGACAACAGCATGTTATATAAGTGACCAAGACACCATGCAAAAAAATAAGCATTAATGTAACAACTTATTGAGGTTGTTGGGAACAGTGATGGTTATAGAGTCTTACAGCTGCTGGGAGGAAGGATCTGTGATAATGCTCCTTGGTGTATTTAGGGTGCAGATTATAACTGCAGAAAATTTGGACTCAATCGGTTTTAGCTTATTTGTTTCTCAAAGATTTTAGATGACAGTGTTGCAGGTGGACTTATGATTTTGGTACAGATATTCCGAATGTATCCATAATTGTTGCCAAATGTCTTTTACATCATAAAAAGTAATTGGGTCGAATGCAAATGCTGATTTTCGTGGTATGGCTACATCTGCACATAACAAAGTGTTTTTTTTTCATAAGATTTCATAAGATTTGTCAATAAAATTAGGACATAAATGAGTTACATTTTGTCACTTTGTCTCAAGCAATCAATTACGAAAAAACCTCAGTAAAAGTAATTCATAAGTAAAATAACAAGTATTTAAAAAAGAAAAATCAGACACGTAGCTTCACAAAAATGTGTGAATATATGAGTAATGAATCGGCAACTGGATAAATTATTACCTGTAGCTCTCCAAAAACATCGAAATAACACAAAACAAAGCTGTTGTAAAACTGAAACTGTATTGAAAACATGTAAATGATACTGTGCAGCAGATCAGGACATGATTGATTGTTTAAGCACCTTGGTTGGTGCCAAGCCCTCATGGGTGTATTAGACAATGTTACATAATAGACAATACAATAGCCATCTGAAAAAATATTAAAACACAATGACATGATAAGAGAGCATGGACATTTTGCATTTTCTGAGCGAATAGTCCATGGTATGAGATGCAAAGTACTTTGCTGCAGATACCATGACTTGAACATGTAGCCAGAGAAAAAAAGCATCCTTTCTAAACAGCCAGCAAAGAATCTCTGCGTCATCCTTCCAAAATAAATTGTAACTATACAGTAGTAGTTTCCCATTTGTGGTGACTGTGCTCCCTACTTCTGTATATGCCTGAAAAACTCAGGATAGGGTGCATGTGTGATGGGTCGTAGTTAGGCCACATTTTTCATGACTTCTCCCAACTCATCTTGGAACTAGCTAAATGAATCTTTACTCTAAGAGCTTAAGTTTTTTGTATCTGTCATCCTTGGTCACTTACTGTATTGGGTATAAATGCCTGAAATCATCGGTTCAAACATTACACCTTTAAACTTGGCTTGATTCTTTGCTGTCCTGTGCTTGCATTTTTTCTTTCAAGCTTTTTAAAATGGGCTTCCTTGACTCTTAACTGCAGCTGCATGCTACAAGGCTGAATAAGTCCATGACTGTAAAGGCTCAAAAACTGAACTTTACCCTTTAAATTCTACAGAAACGACATATTGAAATGGTTCTAACCATTGGTAACATGTAAGCAATTCCTTCCCTTCCTTGGTTCAGGGAAGGGCATTCATATACAGCAGGTCAAGTCTGACTCAAGTGTCATATTTGTTTCTCCACAGGGAGGCACCCAACAACTTTCCGAATGTCTGGCACAGCAGGTTGGCCTGAAGAACGTCCGGCTGGGCTCTGCCGTGACGGCCATATGGCAGGTAGAGTACAGTAACGTCTCACTCTGGGACTGATGAGGCGTGACACTGAGATAACAGCTTCCTCACTGGGGAAACGGGCTGTCTCATGTGAAGGCTTTTTCTTTTGAGCATGAATTTTCAGTTCAGCCGCAGCTGAGACCAAAGCTTTCATTGGAAACCATCAATATTAGATTCTTTCCTGCAGGCCATGCTGGATATTAATATATTTATTTTGTCACAAAACTTAAAGTATTACATATTTAACCAGTTATGGAGTATATGAATGGAAATAAATTATGTACTCTATCTGTAAATGATGCCTGTCACTCAAAGGACGCCATAAAACGCAAGAAACATTTGCAACATTCTTTCATGGTGAAATTTAGTCATGGAGTCATAGAAAAACAAAATAAAAGTAAACACCAGCTCTTTTCATTGGGTTTCAATGAAAAATCATTGTAAAAGAACTCTGTTTTCATCATTTTGTTGATGCTGAAGCATTCCTTCTATCCATTGTGTTATCCCTGTGCCAAGAAGGCAAGACATTAGCGATGACCTTAAAGGAAAAGAAAAATGCTTTTCACGCTAGAAAGGAATTTAAGGTCATTTCCAAACAGCTTTCTAACAAGCAGAAACCTTTTTTGAGGAGCATTGGATGTGCATGCATATGTATTTCAAGGCCAGGTTGTGCTGTAGATGAAAAAAAAAAAAGTTCCCTGAATTTTATTTTCAAAAGATATAAAAGCAGGAACTGGTTTTATTTATTTCCTATCAAACTCTGCCAGCATCAGTTCAAATAAACAAAAGAAGGGGAAACATCTCTTCTTTCACAATAGGAAATGGCAATATGGAGTTCCTGGAGAAAAGCTTATGGGACAGATTAGACCAAAGTGGAGATGGATTTGCTTGACCCTGTCTCATAACTGCAAAGCACAGTGATATAATGGTGATTATTTAGGTTTGGGGTTTTTTCCGTGCCTTAATGGCATTAAATTGACCCTTAACATCTCTATCTATCAAGGTGTTCTAAAGCCACATTAAATTAGTCTATTTTTCAAACGGCTCTAACAGGACAATCTCAAACACAGCAGCCATTCACAACATAATGGCTGCAAAGCATCAAGGTGTTGCACCAGCTCAGTCTAGATCTTTTATTGGGATTTTAAAAGAGCAGAGCAGAAAGTAATTCCTTCAAGCCTAAATCTTTGTGTTTTACATATATTTTCTTAAAAACCCTTAATCTGTTTTCATTTGAGAATGGACTACAGCTTGATTGAATATATGGAAAAAAAATCTCAAAATGTTTAGGTGACAAATGCTTAATAGAAATATATTAGGACTTTTTTTATTTTAAACCAAAAGGTTTGTAAGATTTTTTTTTAAATAAACAGTTTATCTTGTATAAAGACAACAGTTCTTTTGCATTTTAACACTAAAAGCACAGGACTGAAACATGAAAAAACATTTCAACATGTGTTGTTCATGTCCTCTCATGTTCAAGGTGACTGGAAGCATTTTAGTGTACAGTGCAGCATGAACTGGGTAAGAGGCAGGGCAGAACCTTGACATTTTGCCCGTCTATCAAACGGTTAATGACAGAGAAACACATTCACACTGACACTCAGCCATGAGCATTTTAGAGCTTCCACTTCACATCGGCTGAAGCAGGACAGCGACAAAAGCCCTCCCAGCTGGGGAGGTTGTGTTTACACCCAGGATGGTCTTGTTGAAAACAATGTAGAACAATGGAATGATGCATTTGAAGCTGATTCAATAGAACAGTGTCATAAAAATAGTCCTTCTCAATCCATATATTGGAAAATAGAAATGATCTATAAAGGTTTCATCTCCATAGAGGTGCTTTACTGACTTTAATATGAAGAGGAAACCTTGGAATCTTCCTTGGAGTAAGATTCAGGCCATTTTCTAATGAAAATAATTTTCAGTCCCTATTGTTATTGGCTCTCTGTCTCAGAACTTAACTTGGCACACAAATATGCATCTAGCATCTGTAGATGTATTTCCTTTCACAATCAAATTGTGCAGATTGCAATTAGAACAATATATTTGCTTCATGGAAACATTTTGAAATGGCAAATTTTGAAAAAAAAACAAAGTCCTCCATAGCAAAATGTGTGTATTTCAAAACTGCAATGAACATTTTTTTTTTTCCTTTTTTTGTTTGTTTACATGTCATATGGCAAATGGCCTGTGGTTGTGTATCACCATTTCAAGTCAAGGGAATCCAAAGCATTTTAAATAACATTGAATTATTCACCCATTCACACTGTAATGGTGGCAAGCAACTTTTGGCAAAGCTGTCCTGGGTTGAGGGTTAGAATTAGCTGCAACAAAAGATTTTTTTTTCAAATCGATTAATCTGTTAATTATTTTCTCAAATAAATTGATCAATAACAGGATAGCAAAAGGTTCCTTAAACAAGACTTTTTGCGAAATTAAACCAGGTGAAACTAAAACTTTTCCATGTGAGTAATCCTGCATAGAGCATATCGACAGTCAAAAAAGATTTTTATCTTTAATTCAAAATGTTTATTTTGTATTTATATTAATATAATTTTTTTTTTTCTTTATATAATTTTTTTTATAATGTTTGTATATTTGCTGCTGTTACTCTGTCAGCTAAAGGTACCTTTTAGAATCTCTACACTCCAGTTAAAGATTAACCATGTCGGGTTCATAAAATGTAGGTTTTTTGAAAAAGAAAGAACTGAAATATACAATTTATGGATACAATTTCTGCAGAAAGGAGAGAGTTGAACCCCAGACTCAAACACACCGTCTCCCACTGGACCTCCTCCGCAGAGCATTTTATTAACAGAACATGACACATGGTTACAAACAGAGTATTGTTCTGACAGAACAATTGATCAGTTCATAAGGACAGAATGCTCCATCAGAACGACAAGGCAGGATGGTCTCCTGACTGAATCATGAGACAGGAGTGGAGCATCCCCTTGCAAAAATGTTTTATAAGCATATGGGAGAATTATCCTGCCATAATACAAGAGCACATAATTTCAATTTGAGAAAAGAATTTCATCTTCTTGGACTCAAAACTTATAATGCTCACACTCAAAACATGCGCTCTCTCTCAAATATTTTCTCTTCTCTTTCAAATCTTTGTTTCTTCTCTCAGATTTAATGCTTTTTGCAACCTTTCCAGCCAATAGAACGACAGCCTCAGAAAGGGTGCGCTTGTCTAACTCTACTGAGTGTGCCTGTGATAAACCTTACCGACAATAAATTGGTTTTTTAATTTAAAAGCTATCCATTTTCAGACGTGAGGTGATGTGAACAGAAAGCTCCCGCCTCAGAGTTGCTCGTCAGAAAAAAAATAAATAAATAAAAAGTTTGCTAGTCAGGGCAGATGCTAATTCTGCCTCCAGCAGAAATTAAGTGACTTTTCATTGGTGATTCTTGAATCGCCCTTTATTATTTCCTTTTTTTATTTTCCTGATTGTTGTTGTTTTTCAGCTTCTTATTTTAATAGCTTTTAAACTAAAAAGCCATTTTATTGTCAGTAAGGTTTATCACAGGCACACTCAGTAGAGTTAGACAAGCGCACCCTTTCTGAGGCTGTCGTTCTATTGGCTGGAAAGGTTGCTAGGCGACGATCCGATCCAATCTGAGAGAGAGCAAAAAAAATCCGCAAGCAGAGCCTTTTGAGTTTTGATTGCAAGAAGATTAATTTATTTTCTCAAATTGAAATTATGTGCTCTTGCATTATGGCAGGATAATTCTCCCATATAAGCACACATTATTTTATAATCATTATTGAATAAACCTAACAAACCAATTACTAAATTAGTTGACAATTATTTCAATAATCGATTAATCATGATGAAGACGATTAAGCCGATTAATTGTTTCGGTCCTAGTTGGAATGAGATAACAGTACCTACAGGGAAGTTTATTACAAATGAAAGGAGCTCAGATCTGCCCTGGTGACAGAGGACCTGCATGGGGTCCTCTTTTATATTTATATATTTCTTACCTCAGAAAAAATGACTCTTTAAACAAATAACTTGTGCAGTAACAGTAGCAGACTGCCATGCTTTTTCTTTTCTCCCATACATGTGCAAAACATTGGTGTCGTTTTAACTTATTGCCAGAGGGGGCAAACTTCTGCAAAAACAATGGAACTTATCCCATGCTCCTTTAATGGAAATACAGAGATTGCAAATTTTTTTTTTTTTTCCTGAAATAATTAAATATAATCGATGTTTGAGGTGCATTCGTCAACATGGATAGTGAAACATTTACTGACTTTCAGGGCTAAGGTTTTCCTGTACAAAACTGATATTCAGCTCCTAATTTTTGGACCTTTGGTGTGCAGCTTCCCTCCTTTATCTCCACCCATTTCTTGCCTTGCTTGCTGTGGGTAAAGGTCAGTAGTACAATAAAACCATTCAAAGAGATTATTTAACAAGCAGACTTAAAAAGAAGCCTTGAAAGAAATCTTGTTTTGAAGTTCTAAACTAAACCAAGATTTTGTTTTTCTGACCAAAGCAACCAATCTGGCACACCAAGAATCTGTTAATATTTTTTTTTTTTGTAGCTACTAGAAATGAAGAGTAGCTGTAGCTGTGATTCACAGCATGTGATTCATTCAGAAAGTCCTGGGAGCTCGGTTTAGTCATTTATTTTGCATTTGTGTGTGGAGAATAAACAAGAAGTAAACCAGCAGGAGTTTTGCAGGACATGCTGTCTACCAGCCTGACTGAGGAGGATGGATGCTAATTTGGATTATTTGCATAACATAATAACATGGATAGCAATCAGTTTGAGAAATTAGTTTTATTATGAATAACTTATTAAGCTGATAACACAAATATTTCAGTGTAGACATATTCCTATTTGCCTGGTCTTTACCTAAATATGTGAAGTTCTGTAGAGTTTAGTGACAAAATACAACACAACTAATGTTTTCAGGGCAGTTGGATGGAGTATGACAGTTGGTCCAAATCAAGCCAATGCAGTTGACATCAACTGATGCCGTTTGTTGAACACAAAGACATGGCTTGTGGCAGTTTCCTTTTTTCCTTCTTGGTCATCTGACAGTTTTCACTGACACTATGAAGGGAAACATGGAGAACTCATGCTGTTGACTTTGTGCAACTTTGGGTTATGTCCATATGGAGTTTGATCTAAATACGCAATCAGCCAGAATCAAGCAACTTTAGATGCAATTTGTTTATTCTCTCACAATTGACATGTTCTTTTACTCATTCTGATCTTAAAAGTAGTAAAATCTACGAGTGGTGAACAAAGTAGTCAACCCTGCTATGTGAGTAAAAGTACTGATACTAATAGTCAAATCTTACTCAGCTACATAAGTTACTCACTTTTGAAAATACTTATGGATACTTAACTACTTTTAAATGCATGTACTTTTGCATGTACTTTTGAATACTTATATACTTAATAAGTATTCAAAAGTGCATGCATTTAAAAGTAGTTAAGTATTAAAACAATAACGGTACATTTCTGTATTATTTTCAGAGTAATTTTAAAGAACTTTGTACATTTCAGAAACCACCTGATGCATTGATGTACAGAACCACCTGCTACAAATTCTACATCATCTGCAGCATAACAATGCCACCAAAAATAAAGCCAAATATTTTGATTATTATTTCTTATTTAAAGACAAACTAAAAAGAAAACTTTTTTGATTCTCCTCACACTTTCACTATGAAATATAGGTTTACGGTTGAATATATTACCACAAAGAAACTACAACTCTGCTTTAAAAAGTCATCCTACTGAACAACTTGGCCGCATGGCAACAAATCACAGCTTATTAAAATGTTTAAACTACCAATAATATCTGCCCAGAGTTCTTCAGAATTGAGGAATGTCATGCCAATCTCTGAACGGCGGTGTCCAAATTCAGTCCTAAGCGCTGCGATGATGCATGTTGAAATTTCATTTCAAGAAACAAAAACAGTAACAGTTTATCACAAAACTAAGCTGAGAAAGAACAAACAAGTAACTACCAGCTTCCTCGAAATATAGTAGACTAAAAGTTATAAGTATTCCCCCCAAAATTACTCAAGTATTGTAAAGATACTCAAAAAAGAACTTACAGTAACCAAGTAAATGTACTTTGCTACTTTCCACCGCTGCATCTACACCTCATTAACATCTGAGAAGCCTGTCTGAATCTGTCTCTCAAGGCTGCCTCAACTGTTCTCAGTAATATGATAAAAAAGGTGGATTATGTAAAAGAATGTCAAGAATCCAGAAGAAAATGTGCGAAAATGTAAAAATTATCTGGGAGAAAGATCTTGATACAGAAATTGACGAAGCTGTGTGGGAAAATATTATTTAAAATGTGGGAGGAGCTACAAGGGATGCAAGAAATACATTTATTCACTACAAAATTGTACTTAGATATTTTTTACACCAAGTTAGCTATGCCGAATGGGTTTAATAAAGGATAACAAATGTTGGAAGTATAATAAAAAGGTTTGTACATTTATCCATGCACTATGGGATTACCCCTTGATAATGCCCTTTTGGAAGGCAGTTTTGAAAAAATTTGAGGACTGGCTCAGTCAACCTTTACCAGAGACTGCACAATTCTGCCTCTTAGGAGATAAGTCATTGATGCCAAGGGGTATTCCAAAAGCTGAAGGTAGACTAATGATGACAGGTTTTCTGATAACGGCTAGAATTATTCTTCGTAAATGGAAGAGCCCACATAGACCGGAATTTAAGGCATGGCTTCAACTTATGTGAGAGACAGCAACTTTTGAAGACATGATTTCAAAGGTGCAGAAGGAGCCGAGTAAAGCTAGCTAAGCATGGGTGCATTTTGGTCACAGTGTTGGTATAAATTGTGTATGTGTATGTACATTCATATGTTTTTGAATAGATAATTGATAAGTGTCGTCATGTTCTGTGTTGCTGCCGATGTGTATTTGGATGTTTTTGTTTTTTGAAAGTCATTTGTCTGTAATTGTATTATCATAAAAGCAAAATAAAAAAAAAAATAGTAATGACAAAAAAAGGTAAATTATGAAGATAATGAAAAAAGTTCCAAATCAAGTGTAAAAAAACACGTTTTCTGTCACCACTGCTGAATCCAGAAGACTACTTAAGATACGATTAATCTCACCAGTAAACTTACTGGCAGATGCATTTTTAAATTAGTTTATTTTCCATTTATTCAATTTAAGGTACTTTTTTTTTTTTTACCTCAAAGCTTTCTCCCTGTTTATATTTGATAGATACATTTTCTTTACCTTTGGTGATGATGATACGAGGCCCTTGGGATGATTTACTGCTGTAGAGTATGTTGGTCTTTGACCATCCTGAGCGGTCAGCAGATACTGTAGTGCACCTCTTTAAATCTGCTCATCACACCCAGTGCTAGAGTTTTATTTAAGGTTATAAAGGACAATAAAAACAGTATTAGGACAGGCACTTGGTTTTAATTACCTTATTTTATCAGGGACAAATCGTTTTTGATCTTTTTTTTTATATGGGCAGATATTGTGACTGTGCCCCTTTAAGCAGTAAAGTCTTGTGCAGTAGTCTAAGTGTTTACTAGCTCCTGGACAACTCTTTTAAATATTTTTTAGATCCTGTGCTAAAGATCTTAAGAACAACAGCATGTTTTGGGTAAATGTTAAACGTTTCTCAATCTGGAATACAGCTATTCAAACTTAATGGTACATTCACAACTGATAATATATTTTTAACGTATTTTTTGTGCTCTGTACTAATGCAATAAAAACGATTTAATTTGGGGTGATTACACAATTTATATACCTTTTAAGTTTTGCTGTTTAATGGGGGAGTGTTGCACAATGGCAGCCCACTGCTCCCCAAAGGGATGGGTTAAATGTAGAGGTACATTTCTCCATTGTGAGATCAATAAAGTTCAATTATTATTATTATTATTATTATTATTTTTGCTGTATAAAAGATATGGACCAGCTAGTGAAATATTAGGAGAACTTGAGGTGACTTCTTGGTCTAAAGTTTAGACCAAGAAGTCACACAATGTACAATGTAGACCTATTTATGGCTAAGACAAAAAAAGAAAAAAAAAAGTTTTAAAAAACACTAATCAAATCATTGATCACGAGAGGCCAAAAGTATGCAGGGAACCTTTTTTTATGCATGCTGATTGCTGGGCATGGTTTGCCACGGTTGCTAGGTTGTTACCAGGGACTCTAAAGCGCGAGGGGCTCCGTCTAAGGTTGGGCGCACAGCTGGATTTGCTGCTCTGTTCAAGCTGTCTGAAACTTTCCCGGATTTTTGAAGCTACCGCTGCATCATTCAACAACAACAGCTGTGCGGCAATATTTTAAATATGAAGCAGGTCATGGACGTTGCGATGAAGATCGCTTGCTCTGTTCGGGCCTGGAGTTTTCAGAGGCGTTTATTCCATGCACAGCGCGAGGAGACAGGTTCAGACCACACTGATCTGCTGCTGCACACAGATGTTAGGTGGCTGAGGCGTGGCAGATTCCTCAAAAGATTTTTGGAACTTTTGCCTGAAATTAAAGAGTTTCTGAAACGGTCAACAACCCATTCTGCTCTATGTTACATCTTCACATCCACATAGTTTGTATTTTCCTATTTTTATCTGTTTTCCTGTTGAATTTTAATCCATCTGCCAGTTTCTCTGCCAATGCCAATGCCCAGAAGTTTATCATTCTGAAATAGTGGACTTCTCTTCTCCTTCTTCCTGCTTTGAAGTGATCTTAGACTTTGACAGATTTTATTTGTCATTTTGTTTACACAAGTGTAAAACAAAAAGAAACTTAGTTTGGACAGTGATATAAACATATGACTGTAAATTTATAGTTCTAACGTTTTTTTTCATCTCTACTGGACTGTGTGTGTGTGTCTATCAATTGTTTTTTTTTTTAGATTTTTTGACAGCACAGCCTTTGTCTGGAGATCTTGACTGCTCTTTTCTGTAGTTTTTAGTGTCTGATGAGTGAGTGAGTAAGAGGGAGACAGGGAAATGGTGTGAAGTCCTTATGAAATTGTTAAGTTCTGTTTTTGCAACCTATTTTTTGACACAATTGATAATTTCCTCGTTTGTTGGAATTACTGGTTATTCTCCCCCTGTGCAAATGAAAAACAAATATTGCCCATCTCTTGTGTTTGGCTTGGTAGCATGCAATCAACTTCAAAAGTAGATTTTGGTTGGGCACCCCTGGTCTAAACCATTTGGGGAGAGAATCATCTTGAGCCTCTAGTAATTGCAGACTTCATATAACTGAAGGGAGGATGAATGGAGGAATGTACCAGAGAATTTTTTATAAAAATCTGAGCATTGATTTTCAAACAAAACAACAATCCAACAGTGTTAAACAATTTCAGAGAAAGTAAAGCTGCTAGAATCCCCCGATTTATATATCTAACAAAACTAAAACATAAATAAAAATGCCTCCTGTAGCTTGAAGGTTTATAGATAGTTTGTGTGAAAAAAAATATTCAAACTCACACAAGCATTTAGCATTTAGCTAGTCTATAAATACATATGTTCTTCTTTTTTTTTTCTTTTTAGTAAAATCCCTTTTCATGAATTGATCAAGTATGATCAGTACCTAACCCCAATGGACCAATAAACTTCAAGTAACAGCACATCCTCTTTGTGTGAATTTCCTTTCCTGTCTTCTTGTGAGAAACATCCAATGTGAATTTCAGGTCAAAATATGTGTTAGAAATGGATTTACTGAGACAATGTATACAAGCCCTCAGCTAGGGAGGAAAACCAGGCTTTATGTAGCCTTGGATGTATCAAGGAGTCATTGTTTATTTCTCATAGCACGTCTCTTGTTAGCTTCTTTGCAACACTAAACCAGATTGATTTTACTGTTAAATCTTACTACCGTAAATATAAAGTTTTTCTTTTGCACAGGACTCTGAGTGGGCCAGGGTCATGACGACCGACGACACCTTCTTGTGCAGGGCTGTAATCGTCACTTGCCCCCCTCATTTGGCAGGTCAGTGTGTGTCTCCCACATTTCTCTCTACCTGTTAACTGAAATTCTCACTGATGCAGAAGGCAAATATCCCACTTTCTCATGAGGTCTGTTAAATGTGGCTGACCGTGCATCCATACATTTATATCAACAAATTTCCCCAATCTTTTACTGGCTCTGGGGTGCAGGAGTCACTTTGGCTTAAGTACATTCAGACGGAGGTCAGGTTCCGGGCTCAGGATTTGCTTTGATTTGATTTTTTTTAAACCAGTGCAAGAGTTGAGGTCTAAACTTTTAACTGGAGGGGCAAAGTGAGATTTGCTATGGTTGGATGTGGGAAGCTGAGAGTGGTAAACACGTCACTGTCAGCCTCCCAGCAATCGACATACCAAGTGGAGAAACATTTGGACACCTGCAGGGGTGTCACATTTGGAGTAAACCATGATGCCCAACTTTTAAAAACATTTCATTTTAATTCCTAAAGGTTTAAACTGATGCATTTTAATGTACCAGTACCTCCCTATTCATTAAAATATCACAATCTGTTTCTATTAAGCTTAGACTTTAAATTTAGTATAACTCCATTATAAATTCCATTTACAGATTTTTTTTACAATGGATGTTTTTGTAAAATCTGTAGATTATAGCTATAGAAAGCCAAACTGCTTCTTGAATTAAATCGAATATTAGATGCAACTGTCCTTGACCCATGCAAATGTTAAGCCATTAAACAGCTTTTCAAATGATGCCTCTTATAGCCCTAATGTAAAGTACTATGCACGAAATAATAAATAATTACCCAGTGGGCCAATATGGCAATGCAAAAAAATAATAATAATAATAATAATTATATATTTCCAAAAGTAATGTTGGCAAATATGTTATCAGGTCCTAAGTCCTAATAGCTGAGTACCAGGAAACCCATTTAGACTTTTTGACAAGGTATATGAAAATGCTCATTAGGTTTTTATATCCAAACTAGATATGAAGATGAAAAAAAAAATCAGATTTTTAAAGTAACCTGGCCTCTTTAAGATTGTAACTTGCATCCAACTTGCTCCAGAGCTGTACTTAAAGGGACACTATGCAACATTTTTCAGTTAATTAATGTGTTCCATAACGTTATGGATGACTAAATGAGTCATTTCAGGTTGAACAAAGGTATTCTCGGCCGCCCTGGTGGTCTGTGGGGGAAATACTGCACTTGCAACTGCAGGAGCACCGACCCGCACCCACAGGCTCAGAAGTCTCGTGAGAGTCAGTCTTGCTTTACGGCGAGAACTGCTACACGCCCCCAGTTAAAAGCATTCTCGTTGCTAGCACAGTGGCGATCTTTGTGCAGTTATGCTACGTTCACGCAGCAAAAGCAGCAAAATCGCGTCTGCTGCTTCCTTTTTGCTGCTTGTACCAGTTAGTTCTGACGTGAGGCTGAAGCAGCTTTGGTGCTCTGGCTGCGGGGTGCAAAAGTGTGTCTGAGGCGCGTTGGGCGGAGCTTCACTATCCTTTCTCTGCCTTGCAGCTATATTTGCTGTGATCAGTGGGAATAAAGTAGTTTTAATATGTGTTTAAGTGAGAAAATACACCTGAAAACGTAATCAGTGCAGTCAGTTCATTCAGATTATTATCCTGCCTTCAATATTTTTTCTGTCGGAGCCGCTCAGACCCCCACATACCAGGGATGCGCCGACAGTATGGATCCCTTCATCAGCAGCGGTTCACCGCGGCAGCTGGTAGGTGTTTTTCATCTAAATAATCCAAACTGCATATTCTGCCGGCAGATTTCTGCATTTTAAGTTAATTTAGGCGTCAATAAACTGTTTAAGAGGAGTGATCATCAGCGCTGTGTCTCTCTCCCTGCGTTAAACGCACCCGACGCGCTGCTTCAGCTGCTCAGACGTGCTGCGCCTGGTGCTCAAAACGCGCCGCTGGACCTTTTGCTGCGCCTTGACGCACGTCAACCATTGACTTTGCATGTAAACTCGCTGCTTCTGTCGCGCCAGCTACGTCCAGTGTGAACGCAGCGTTAGTCATTCGCTGCTAAGCTCAAAACAACCGCGCCTGGTGTGACGGAGAAACCAGGAGAACAGCTGTGCATATTTACGACAGTGCACTTTTACTTTCGCCCTCTGGAGGGAGCCTCGCTGGAAAATCAACACCGGTTGCATAGTTTACCTTTAAGTGCAAATATATTTGAAAATCTTTGCACTACAATGTGTGCTCTGAGGACCTGCTGCAAGCCCAGGGGAGCTGAGGACTCGGTATGGACTCTACTGTATTAAACAGCTGTACACTGGCAGTTACATTGACACAGTAATTTGCTAGCCACGATTATAGTTTTGCAGGGAAAAAAGACAAAGGTTTAGGGGATGAGGCCGGCAACCCGCAGCTGTACCAGTTTGAGCTTCTGGTCCAGAAACTCTGTGCAGCTGCTCCCTGCTCCCACATACAGTGGTTCTGGTCTGGACTATCAATAAATATCCAAATCAAACGCCATATGTCTAGCTTTCATATCTTAAAAACCATTGACTCACAATTAATACCATACTATTATTTTACACTTTTTTTTTTTCAATTTTGGTGCATTTTCTTTTTTTTTTTTCAGAATTGTCTTTTTTTTTTCTTTTCTTCCCCCAATTATGTTGCTCGGAGCGCACAACAAGCAAGTATATCAAACTCGGATTCAAATCTGCAACTCTAAATTGATCTGGCCTGAGGTTGGGAACTCTGAGTTTTAAATTTCACAACAGCTGCTATGAATGAGTTCAATCAACTCTAAGTAGGTCCACTCATACGTTGAGTTGAACATGTGCGTAATGAGTATCAAAATTATCAATGGAACTGAAACTGGAAATTTTAATGAATGAAATAATTAATGGACATCTAGAAAGTTTAGTCTATATATGATGAATGTTAGTTTGTTTGAAGTGGTCATTTTGACAAAGACAAAATGTATTTATTTTTTTTTTTTTAGGTATCTGGAATACATTTTCAGTTTAACTAATGCATATCCTGTTGTGACCACGATAACATTAGGGGTTTATTGCTTGAATGGTTGTGGATCAATGTATTTATTTGGGGTGAAATCATCCAGCAGCAGGTGAGCATAAAATCTAAAAACATTGTTCTAATAGATATAACCTGTTCGTCATCTCATGGGGTTCCTCTTCATGTTGATTCTGTCTTTCATTACACAGTAAATACTAAGTAGTTATTAGAGGTTATCAGTCTCATAGAAATGCTTTAGATTGTGCCAGGATGCTCAGTAGGTTGTTTTTTCCGAGTGAATCCTAATCCTAACCTTAACGTAATTCTTTTTCCTCCCATTTATTCATTAATCTATTTATGTGTAAATTAAAAATAATTTCAGTAGTTCTTTATGTACTGTAAAAATAAATAAGTAAATGATGCACATGTTGCCCATATTAAACAAAAAACAAATCATCTCATATCCTGTCAACTCAGTTATAGAATACTCTCCCTATAAATATTTAATTCTCTATGCATTAATGCCAATTATTCTTTAATAAGATCTTCATCAAACAGACATACCATGTTTGTTTTTAAAACCTAATGTGTCTAAGGACCTAGTAAAATATTTTTTATTGTATGCATAAAACTATGACAAAGACATCCTGAATAAATAGAGAAATAAAACAACGTGATTGGCTGTAAGGAGAGCGGAGACAGAGGACTTTCTGAGTTTACTGAACCAGGTTAGCTCCTGGGAGAATGTTACTACGGCAACAGAAACGGAGGTTGAATAAACTCTCAGGTCACTTCAGGTCTAGAAAAAGAGTGTTCAGGTAACCTGCTTCATGAAATGAACCCCAGGATTTCAATGAATTTACCATATATAGAGGAAAATAATGCCTGGGCCAAGTAGACAGCTCTATAAAGGTGCATTCCTTTATTAGAATTTATTTATATCATTTTTACAAATGAGAATTTTAACTGTGCAAGCCTGCACCAACAAAGCGGTACCATTTTTTTTTTCTTTTTACATGGGTGGGGTGTCAGCTTCACTCAGCTGAAGCTCCTTCAATTTGATGATGTGGTATTAACACTGCATCTGAAATGCAGAAGGGTGAATTACCCCCGTTGCTTGCAGAGAACACCACGCTCGGTCTGAATTAACCTTAGCACATCTATTTAATTGAAGTTAATCTGCAAAATAAGTGTACTTGGGGTTAAGTTTTGCTTGACTGTCAGAGCAGAGCCACAAGCTGAAGACCTACAGCTCATGCAACGTTGTAATGATGTAATAATTCATGCAAAACAGGCCGTTACAAAGAACTGAGTGCAGCTATGTTATATTAAATAGGATTTCTAATGAGAGCAGAAAAATTATCATGTAAATATTCTAATTTATTAAGATGTTCTCATAAAGCACTGCTTTTTGTGTGTTTTTTGTGTCTGCTTTTGTCAGGAAACTTTTTAATAAACTCCTTATCTAATTAAATTAGAACTGAAAGGTCAATTTAGCACGATCAGTTTTTAAAGCAAAAAGATGACTTTGCCCTTTATGTTTTGATGCACTCATCACAATTTTTAAAAGCTGAATTTATTCAAAGTTTAAATGTCATCTTAAGGCACTTAAAATGAAAAAGTCAATTCAAACCATGCCACACAGACAGACTCAAATTCTTCTAAAGACATAAATTGATCATAAAAAAAGAGAGAGAGAAACATTTTTATTTGCAGGGCTCAAAGTTTAAAGGCAAAACATTTCATTTCTTTTTAATTTGCCAAAGTAAAATTTCCCTATTTATGTAAAAGCATAATTTTTTTAATAAAATGTTGTATTGTACAAACCATTATTTTAAAAATGTCTTTTTAAAATAATACTTGTTCTTTTACATTTTAACTAAACCTCCTTAACTTTCAAACTGGCAACCTTTGATTGCTCTCCAAAAAAAAGAAAACATCCTGCTTAACTACTATTATTGAAGTAAAATACAGAAATAGTTTGACTACTACTGCATTTCTTTAGCACAAATATTTATCGTTGAAATTGAATATTA